CCTATTTTGGTAAACTTTTAGTATGTTGTTTTACATATAATTCAGTTTATATTTAGATCATAAAACGTTTTGTTGCAATTTTGTCCAGTCAAATCCGTATTTCCGGTGGACTACAAGGTAAAAGCAATACAAGAGAAAGCTTGGAAACAAGACATTACTTGAGGATCTCCTATACTGAACATTTTTACATAAACAAAACATAAAAAAACTAATTTAAAAGATTTTTTTTCAGATCACCAATAAAATATTAATAATCCAGCGGACCAATATCTTTTCGCGAACTCCCAAAGTTTTCGTTTACCCTCTACAAACCCCAATACAAGAGAAAGCTTGGAAACAAGATATACATTACTTGAGGATCTCCTATACTGAACATTTTTACATAAACAAAACATAAAAAACTAATTTAAAAGATTTTTTTCAGATCACCAATAAAATATTAATAATCCAGCGGACCAATATCTTTTCGCGGACTCCCAAAGTTTTCGTGGACCCTCTACAAACCCCTTGGACTTGGCGTACCTCCAATTATTTTTCGCAGACCCCTATGGACCTCCAATTATTTTTCGCAGACTTCTAAGTGGCCCCTAGGTTGGGAACCACTGGTTTTAAATGATATGTATAAAGCACGTTTACAGTACGTTGCTATTTTGTGGGACAATATCCATGGGGCGGGTCTTAGCGGAATGGCTCATTAGAATCAATGGTCTGCCATTGGCGGGTCTCTCCCATGGCACCTCCGTACGATATGCATATAAAAACGATACTTTAAACAAATATTTTAACGAATAAGTCTATTATGATTGGACAGAATTCAGCGACATATATTTTTCCACAATCGTCGTTAGTATAGGCCTATAAAAGAATGTATTGTGGCGATTTGACTTAATTCTAACTACAGAGACAGGTAAGCCAGATAGCTTGTTTTTCTTTTGATGAAAATGATGGTTTTCAAGGGTGCATCGATTGTTGTTTTCAGTCTTTGTCTGCTGATTCTCAACACAGCCAAGGTAAGCAGTTGTAATCAGGGAGCAGTGTAGTTCACTGTTCCCTGGTTGTAATAAACAAACTATTTTTCATGTATTTATGTGTTTTTAATCATGATCTTACGCTTTGTTTAGCCAGGGAACAGTTAATTGGTGCGACCGGCCTTGGTCGGTCAGTGAAACGGTGTGATGATGTGTGATTCTATTTTTTATCTGTTTTGTCGGTTATTCTGTTTGGTTAGTTTAGGTTATTTCCGGTCAAATTTATTTCCATACATTATTCACATATATTTTTCAAGCGCCTTGAGACGGTTTCGATCGTGGAAGGCGCTATATAAATATAAAATCATAAACCATAAACCATAATTCACTGTTCCATGGTTTAGCAAACCCGGCGCCCGCCAATAATGATTTTGAATAAAAATACAATTTAATTTTTGGCAAATTAGCCGACCCGCCACCACGAAAAAATGAAAATTCAGATTAAAAAAAATAACAGTTTATTTTTATATTTATTAAGCCCTCCACAGCCTTGAAATCTCCAAAAATAAAATATGTATATTTTTTCCTAATTACATAAATTTAAAGCATTTTACCAACCCATTAGAACACTGTTTATATTCACCAATAAAATTGTATTATTTTCTCCTCCGTCTGGATGATTCGCAAAACTATTTACCTAATAAAACAAAAAATTTATTTCTCCCGTCCTCCTCTGAAAACCTTTAAAAACATTAGTTCTCGAAATCAGGTATAAAAAAAGTCTCGCCTGAATATGCCTACTTACTTTACTGTTACTTTATTGTCTCTACCGACTTTTCTGGTCGCTAACATGAATGATACATCTTTCCAACTCTTGCCCCCGCCCCAAATTTTAACTATTTTTATGCCTATAACTTTCTATTGTGAAATATTTCCAAACTATTGCATATATCGGTGTTTGTTAAGCTATGCAATGAATGTTCACTACTTAAAACAATAGGCACTTTACGCAAGAGGGCGGGCAGCCGCCGAGAACGGATTGCGCACCCTATTGTTTACTGTGGTCTTCACGCTCTGATGAGCACAACACCACCGTCCACCCGTCTTCCCGTCCTGTTGCGCGAAATGCCTATTGGTTCACTTCCTGAAACAATGTTACAATCACCGAGTTGGCAAGATGGGCTATGGCACAGTATGGCTTATTTTGTTATATCTGAAAATGAAATCATAACTACTGAAGAATCTCTGCTCAAAATCTAACAATGGGGTGGGGGTGTGGGGCACGTATTCGTAATTTAGGTTTACTTCTTTCAATACATGGCGTTTTGGTATGTATTGAAATTACAAAAGTAGGCCTAATGGCAAAACGGAGAGGGGAAGACACATGTCCCCGTGCCTCTCCGTCATGCTTTTGTGGAATAGGGCTGTTTTTGACACTGTATTGGTCGGTTTGATGTTTGTTGTAAAATATAAATATTAATTTTCATTACTTAAAGGGAGAAGAAGAAAATAAAAATGGTGGAAATCCTGTGTGGAATTTCCTCTTTGGTGGTAAAGGTAATATATACTTATTTCTTTATTTTTAATTATAAAGGTGCATTCACAACAAATCCGAATTTTCGGATCTGAAAGCTTACCGAACCGATCAGAAAATCGAAACAGTGTGTCAGAATAGAGGGACGACTGCGTTCATCGATTGGGAAACAAGGTCCAAATTTTGGTTCGGATTCGATGTGAAATAGAGCTTAAACCGATGTCACGGTAACATTGATAGCTGTTTATTTCACGTCAGGATTTCTTCATAATATTACTCGAACGAAACTAAGGAGTTTGCATCCTTGAACCCTTCCTCTTGTCGAGTATTTATTTAGTCATTCTTCGTTGCATTTTTTATCTAATTCTGGGGCGGATGCTGGATTTAGCGGTAGGGGGTGCGTGCAAAAATTTAGGAAAATAGTACCTAGTAGATTACTGGAAATGACACTTTTATATAGTAAAATTTATCATTACATCCACCATTACATAGTCAAAAGTATCAGCGATTTTCGGCAACCACGGAGATCTAGTTAGTAGGCTTAAGTGTCATGTACACATAAAACTTAAACACATTCTCTTTGATGTATTTATTTTTTCCTAGTTCAAAGACGTTAGTCCACAACCACCACAGCCGCACCATGGTTGGGACCGAGATGAGAAAATTTCAAGAAATAGTACCTTAGCCGGAAATGACACGTTTATACAGTAGAATTCACCATTATAACATCATCATTATTTACCGTAGTCTAGATGAAGCGCCAGCAATTTTCTCATGATCTTTAATCAATGACTTTCGTTAACAACAGAGATCTAATAACTATGAGTGATGTGCCATAGAAAATAAAAACTAAAGAAACACTTTCTTTGATATATTTAACATACTCGACCTACCTCAAAGCCGTGTGGCCACATTCACCTCGGCCCCACCATGGTTGGGGCTGAGGTGAGAAAATTTGAGGAAATAGTACCTCAAGATGGCCGGAATTAAATGACACATTTAAATAGTAAAATTCATCATCACATCACCATTATGGTATGTTCAAAATGAAGCGCCAACAAATTCGCATGATTTTTTATCAGCTATTTTCGGCAACCATAGAGATCTAATTAGTATGTGTGTTGTATGTTACCATAGAAAATAAAACTTATAAACATTGTCTTTGTGATGTATTTACTTTACTTACTTCAAAACTGTGAGTCCACACGTCTCTTACCTCCACCACAGTTGAGTGAGCAGGGGATGAGGTGGTAAAATTTGGGGAAATTGTACCTCTAGATTGCCGGATATGACACTCTTATATAGTAAAATTAATCACTGTGATGTACCATAGAAAATACTACTTCATGTGCCGAAACTCAATCTTAACTTTGCACGCTTTTTCTCATACTTCTCAAATTATAATAAAAGCACGCGCACTCGAGTCGAATATTATAGGTAGTTCAGATGTTTGTGGGCAGAGATACAGGTATCTTGCTATAAAATAAGATGTACTCAAAAATTTTTAGGCATAGGCCTATCTCCTTGACTCACGAAAAGTGAGGGGACAAACCTTTCCCCCTTAAAACATATGTGAGGGGACGTTTAACAGGTGTGGCGCCCTGGGGGGGGGGCGGGGCCAGGCTCCTAGTCAGGAAGGTTCCCCCCCCCCCCAAACTCGGGGAGAAAAAACACAATTCGTCGGTGAGAAAAAAAAAGTATTTTTTACATATTAGTAGACTCTAAAATCGATTAAATAAGCCTTTGGAACCACTAAATTGTCAAAATTTCGGGGGAATCTTCCCCCCACCCAGACCACTTTCGAGGCATTTAAAGCGACGTTCGAACACGCCCACTTTTTTCTCGTCGGGGAAATTTTCTCCCTCGTCGGGGATATCGGCACCTCGTCAGGAGACATCGGACCACCCCCACCCCCACCCCCCGTCGGGAAAATCCTGGCGCAACCCCTAGACGTTTACCCCTTCCCCTCAATCATCTATTAAGTGCATTTTGGCATGTCTTTGTTTAATGTTATTATAATTTTGTATGGTTTTTGGCTGTGAAAAAACCAAAGGCGACCTCCATATTATAATCATAAACACTGTCAGAATGAATCACTATCTACGAGTATGAGGCGCAAGTAACAGTTTTATAATAAAGTAGTAGAGTATAATATTTTTCCGATCCAAAACACAAAAACTGTGGTGACGTCCTTAAACCACAATCGCTTCTCAATGATCCTCACAAAGGATTTTATTCTTTGTATTTTGTTGGACGCACCTTCACAACTATGGATTGTACCAGTACTGTTTAAAAAAAAAGGTGTAGTTTCCGAATAAAATACACGTACAATCCTGGGGTCCCGGCCGAAGCTCTTGGTGGAACTTGATTTGAACCCTTGTCGGACTTGATGGGCCATCTGTCAGCAAATTTCCTCCACAATAATTAATCATATGGCAGTTGCTAAATACCACGACTTCAACCGAGGGAGGTGTGGCTTTTTAAGGTGACCTCATGAATAATCTTAAGCAGTAGCCCGTAGTTTTGGGATTGGCCTCCTCCATTTGAGATTTTTTTAGAATTGGACGGCTAGACGTTTAGATAGCACCTGAAAAGTTAAACTTTAAAATTATTAGAAAGCGTATTTTACCAGTAGTACAGTGGCGGATCCATTAATTAAAAAATAGAGGGAGAGGTATTCACGGATAAAAGATCTATACCAAGAAAATAAGGGGAAGAAAATTTGTGATTATGGCACCTCGAGATGGCCGGAAATTGCACTCTCAGACTTAAAATTTGAATATAATTTTCTTTATATATTCATTTTTTAAAAACAATTTAGGGGTGGGGCGGGCCGGCTGGGCCCCCTTGAATCCGCCACTATAATGTGTACACACGTGAAGCACACACACACACACACACACAAGACGAGTGAACAATTTTTCACGGTTAATCCTATTCATCTTCCCTCCACCACACCCACCCAAAGATTCGACACTGTAGAAATAGCTACCAAAAACCGATGGCATCTATGTTTTGATCTACTGATTTGCAATCAAGGAGGTAATACCTGCTTGATGTAGTTGCTCACGTGGCAACTGACGTTCCATTTCAACTTCAATTTAATTTTCATAAAACATGCATAAAAATCAGTGATGACTGTTCATAGGCCATAACTAGAATTAGGGCATATCAGTGATTATAACCTTTTTAGGAGTTTAATTTTATGTAACTATATTTATAGATTTTTAAAATATAATTTCAGTACTTTATATCCAATTTCATATTATATATACTGTAATAATTTACTATTTTTAAGCAGTTCTTTAATCTTTGTCGATAGTCGGACAGCCCCTCGATGGCAAGCATTCTTCAATTAGGCAATCCTGTCATATATATTATATACCCTTAAGTGGCTCCTGTTATTTTGGCAAAATAAATGATTATGACGACCAGCAAAAAAATATTTAAATATGTCTATCAAAATGTAATCAACATTAGTGACGCTAATATTATTTAGGTTACATTTATGTTATTCATGTATTAAATTTGTGTGGGTAAAACGATAATAAAAGAACAAAATATCTAAGTATTTTTTTCTTGAATTTTGCAAAGAGAAACAACAAGTGATTTTCGAGATCACATAATCGAAATTATATCATACTAAACGTTTCTTTGCCAAAAATCCTCCTATCATTATTGTTTATAGTAATAAATATTTAAATAGTATTATGTTAAGTCATTTTCGTTTGTAAATTGAGAGTAGGCCAACACCAAATTATCACTCTGAAAATTATTGTTTAAAAAGTGAAGTGCAATCATTTGTCTTCTTTATTCACTGGTCTTGTTAATTCTGTATCATTTTTCCTGCCTACTTTATCAAAATCAGTGCTGGCAGTCCAATATTGAACAGCCAGTATCATTACTTTTAGCTTTCGTCGGCTTTACCGATTTCAATGATCTGTAAATAGAGTATCTGGATTGTTCTTTAAAATTGAATATGAACGAGCACACCTGATATTATAAATTTGATTATTATTATTTATAAATATTAAAATAGTATAGGTCAGTTGGCCGCAATATATAGGCCCTAAACTGATATTGTGTAGGCCTAAAATAAAGAGCAAAACATAACTTTTTTGACAAAGACAGGTCTTTTAAGTCATAGAACCTTTAACATTCCAATTTTAATTTCTATGTATTCGCATTTAATTATCAAGCGCGCATGAACACGCGCAAATATTAGAATTCTAAAGATAAATTCTAAATCACGCTTTTAATATAAATATCATAAACACAATTAAACATGTGAAAATAATGTGTAATGTACGTAACTCGTATACTTTGCATATATTCATCAGAAAGATTTGGACACAAAATGGACGGTGTATATCACGTGACTTTCGCAAACTCTTTATGGCTCTGCTCTGGACGAGGAATCCATTGTCCACTACAGTGGCGCACGCCCAATTCAAACTTAATACGGTTGAGGTTAGGAATAATAATATCTAAGTGGCTGGAAATGGCACTCTAATTACAAGACGGTTATACGAACGCCGGCCGACGCATCCACATCCACTCTCCCTGACGTTATCTGGAGATCCATTGGCAGACTGAGCGGATTGTCACTAAAAATGATCCGTTGTGCACGCGCCGAGCCTCGTCGCGTTTCTGCATGATGAATTAAAGTCGGCACACACCCGTCGGCGTACAGCATTTAGCCCTTTCGTAAACCCGCTGTGCTATCCCTGATCCACCGTGCAAAAACTGTAGTTTCTCCACATTTGCTAGACTTTTGCGTCGTAAACGCAATCGAGTTTGTAAAATAGAACAAAGCATATTTCCGATCCTGGCTTACACAGTTTGTGAATAGGAAGGCGTATTCCTGGCTTATCACAGTTTGTGTCATGGGTTTCCAACGGGTGGTCCGTTCCCTTACCACGCCTTCTCTAGACCCTGCTTACGCCACCACTGGTGATCCATGTACATCTGCTCACAGGTAACGCCAACGTCTCTGGCGCACAAACGCATATTTAATTCTCGCCCCTTTGTAGACATCCATTCGTTCATTCATTCATTTATTCAAACGATAAGACAGATAAAACATTCGCAGAATAAAATGTGATTTTATATATTCTATTTAAATCAAGAATATGTTTACATTCTTTATATAAAATGAAATGTGATTTTATATATTCTATTTAAATTAAGAATAATGTTTACATTCTTTCCATGTTTCTTTTGTGTATAGAAACTCACACGTACAATTCCCCGCTAAAACCGCCGATGACGACGGGTGAATCAGGAAATGCAAGCACAGCTTACGTTCGTTGGGGTCGGGATGTCTGCAACCCAGATACCTCGGAAACGGTATACACTGGTATGAAACAGTAATTACACAGATCGGATATAGCTTTGAGCATTACCGGTACCTGTTAACTAAATTGAACACATTATTCATACAACTGGAATACTAAAAATACTTGTCTCTTATACACATCTAGATGTGTATAAGAGACAGATTTAGCCCTTTCGTAAACCCGCTGTGCTATCCCTGATCCACCGTGCAAAAACTGTAGTTTCTCCACATTTGCTAGACTTTTGCGTCGTAAACGCAATCGAGTTTGTAAAATAGAACAAAGCATATTTCCGATCCTGGCTTACACAGTTTGTGAATAGGAAGGCGTATTCCTGGCTTATCACAGT